CCCTGAAACACTTTCACTCCCATTCTGCCTAAACTTAGCTGCTAGGTCTATTAACTTAGCCGAAGTGGATGGCCATGCCATGTTACATAGTAATTGTAGGGGTGGGAGCAGAGAGACCCCCTCTTGGTTTGGCGGGGCTGCATGGTATTCAACGTTTAGATTGCTATAGGTCTAGCCTGTGCTAGGATGAAACCATCTTCATTATCTTCTACGATCTCAGTGGAACCTTCATCTTCTGAGGAATCTAAGTCCTCAGTGGGATCTGCACACACCACCCGCACAGATTGCTCCAGTGGCAATTTTCATCTTTTTACCTTTGCAAAGCAACAGGCTAAGTCCTAGTAATTGTTCAGTTGTTTGTCCAAGCTGTGGCTGAGCAAGTGCCTATTCTCATCCTGAGTAACCTGACTGTCTTGTTACAGCTGAAGTTCTTCCTCAAGCATTGTGCTTCTGCACACATACTAATTCTTGCTGGGTTGCTAGATACAGAGCACAGAGGAGCTGCCAATTGTTCCCCTTTTCGAATTTCATGGACTCCCACATGGCCATGAACTCCCATATGCCCGACTGTGGTTCGAGTCCTGGACCTGGCAGCTTGCTTTCTCACTTTCCCTCTCTCTCTCTCTCTCTCTCACTCTGTCCCTCTCTGGTCAAATTTAAAATATCAATCAATCAGGACCAGCAGTTGGCATAATGGCTATGTCGCTGGACTCCCATGTAGTCGACAGCGGTTTGAGTCCTGGACCCGGTGGCTTAAACTCACTCTGGGTACGTGTGTGTGCGTGCCCAAGATCCCAAGAGGAGAATGGAGGAGAAGGGATTGCGGTGTGGCCATCCCTCCTGGGGGGTGATTTCTCTCTTTCTGTCTCTCTGTCTCTGCCTGTCTGGCAAGCGCATGCGCCTATAGCAAGAAAAAAAAAAGAAAAAGAATTACTCATTTAACTTTATTTATTTGTTTGTTTGTTTATTGATTGATATCTTTTTAGAGGTTCTTGCCTGCACACTCACCTGGCATGAGTTTAAGCCACCAGGCCTGGGACTTGAACTACAGTCGACTACATGGCAGTCCAACAACATAGCCATTATGACAACTACTGTTCCCAAGGACTAGTTGTGGTGGGCAGTTAGTTAGTTAGTCATGAGTGGATAGCCCTGAGAAAAGCGTAAAGGATCAAAAAGACCCAAGCAAGCGTTTTGGTCAACACCCTAATCCCCAAGTAAGCATTTTGGTCAACGCCCTAATTCCCACTAGGTCAACGCCCTAATTCCTACTAGGGCGATAAACTAATTAGGCAGTCTAATTAAAACAACCTGGCTCACATTGGGCTTACACAATTAGGTAATCAAATTCCTCATTCTTTAGCTGTGAGAAAAGTACGTAAGTACAGGAGAAAACGTGCGGATTTGAATTCAAAGGAAGGACTTAGGTAGTGTAACAGACCTCCCACTAATTAATATTCATAATGTCTAGTAATAAAAGTTACGGTTAACCAGTACCAAGCGCGAATGCCAGCTGACAATCTGCTCGCCCAAGAGCCTTTTGGGTGTACTTCCTTTCTTTCCTATTAAATCTTCTTTTCTACCTACTTCATTCGTTGTTGCGGTTTCATTTTGCACCTAGGAACAGATCTCTAATTTTAGTGATCTGGACCCAAAGAACCAAGGACTTCATAATGCAGCTCAACATTTTCCCGTTAACATAGCCTTTTAAAAGATTATTTTATTTAGCTTTATTTATTTATTTAACTTGACCAGAGAGGGACTGAGCAAGAGAGTGACAGAGAGAAAAGTAAAAAAGCAAGCCAGCAAGCAGGTCCAGGACTCGAACTTTTGGCCATGTGGGAGTCCAGCGTCCCTAACCACCTCGCCACTTGCTGGCCCCAGGACCAGCCTTTTATAGGTGTTCCTGCTCAGTTTTCCTCTTCAAATACCACTTGGAAGCAGTAGATTGTCACATATACTTATAAGTATCTGACTCTAACTTGAGGGTCCTACCACCCCCTCTTCCAGTTTGATTAATTTGCTAGGTTTGTCTACAGAATGCAGGGGAACAGATTTATTATAAGTGGACATTTTATTACCAAGTTTTTATGTTTCTTAAGAATTATTTATTGGGAACCAACAGTTAGTGTAATGGCTATGTCGCTGGATTCCCACGTAGTTGACCGCGGTTCGCATCCCGGACCCGGTGGCTTAAAACTCACGCTGGGCGCGTGTGCTTGCGTACCCAAGATCCCGAGAGGACAATGGAGGAGAAGGGATTGCGGTGTGACCATCCCCCCTGGGGAGTGATTCCTCGCTTTCGGTCTCTCTGTCTCTGTCTGTCGGGCGAGTGCACGCGCCCTATAGCGAACGCCTCTCAAAAAAAAAAAAAAACCTAGAGAAGTTTCTGAACAATGGAAAGGTGGGAGGTAGAAATCTGATTAGTGTGGTTTAAGAAGAAAATAGTCGATGAACCACCAGTGGAGATAATGTTTACAACTCTCTCTCTATATATTTATATGTGTGTGTGTGTGTGTGTGTGTATATACATATTTATATACATACATATATATATATGCACACACACATATATATATACACACACATATATACATATATTTTTTTATCAGTTTTTTTTTGTCACAGTGCACGCGCACTTGCCAGAGAGACAGAGAGAGGGAAAGTGAGAAACCACCCCTACCCTCAAAGGGAATGACCACACTGCAGTCCTTTCTCCTGCATTCTCCTCTTGGGATTTTGGGCACATGCACACATGGCATGATTTTTTTTTTTTAGAGAGAGATATTTTTGTTATAGGGTGTGTGTGCTCACCAGAGAGACAGAGAGATACAGAGAGACAGAAAGCAAGAAATCATCCCCCGGGGGGATGGTCATGCCACAATCCCTTTTCCTCTCAGGCTTTTGGGCACACATGTACATGTACTCAGTGTGAGTTTTAAGTCGCCGGGTCCGAGATTCAAACTTCAGTCAACGATGTGGGAATCCAGTGACGTAACCATTATGCCATCTGCTGGTCCCAACATGGCATGATTTTCAAGCCCTTGGGTCTGAGACTCAAACCGTGGTTGGACATATGAGAGACCAATACCTTAACCACTACTCTACCTGCTGCAGACCCTACTCTTTCACTTAAAAAAAATAGAAAAGATCCTCCCTACACCATATGTCCTTTGCCTAATAATCTCTTTTCCAAAAATAAATGAGGAGAGAAAGAGAGAGGAAGAAATGGAGAAAAAGAAAAGAAGGATGAAGGGGAAAAGAAGGGAGGGAGGAAAGAAAAAAGGGAATTATAGGGCCAGCTGGTGGCATGGTGTTAAGGTACTAGATCCCACATGAACAACTAGTGGTTCTAGTTCCAGACCCAGTGACTTGGACAACATGCCAGGCATGTGTGCATATGTACCTAAAATTACCAGAAGAGAACGGAGGTCTGTGGCAAGGTCATCCCCCAGGGGCATGATTTCTCCCTTTTCCTTTCTGTCTCTTTACTGCAAGCACAAGTGTCCTGTGGCCAAAAGAAAACTAAACAAAACAAACAAACAAAAAAGAGTGGAGGTTATTCTTGATGTTTTTAAATATATTTATACTTTTTTGTTTGATATGTAATTTAAGTATAGTATCATTCGTCCCTTTACTTCATAGTTCTACGAGTATTGACAAATACATCAAATTGTGTAGTTTGCACCACCATCAAGATATAGTTTCATCTACTCCAAATTTCTTAGGGTTCCTGTGTAGTCAACCTCTCTTTACACCCAGTTCCTGGCAATCACTTATCTATGTTCTGTGTCTGCAGTTTTTTGCCCTTTTTAGAATGTGATGTATATAATATGTAATCTTTTGAGCCTCAATGTTTCTTGTAACAGTTTAGTTTTTCTTTCTTTTTCTTCTTTTTTAAAAATTTGCCTGAGAATACTGGTTGGAAAGAGACAGAGAGGGGATCATTCCCAAACAGGGGGAATGATCACACTGCAATCCCTTCTCCTCCATTCTCCTCTTGGTATTATGGGTGTGCATGCACATCTACCCAGCATGTTTTCCAAGCTGCAGGGTCCAGAACTCAAACCACACAGTGGGCCATGTGGGATTCAGTCACTTTAACCACAATGTGATTGGCAGGGTGGGGTGGGGTGGTGGTGGGGTGGGGTGGTTTCACAGATGCATGGTTGTTTATTTTATGAATGTGGCCACAATTTATCCATAAAGGAAGGATATGTGAATTGCTTCCAGATTTTATTGATTACAAATAAAACATCTGTAAATGTTTGCATACAGATTTTAGTGTGAAGACAAGTTTTCATTTGACTTTGATAAATACTTAGGAATGTGATTGCTATTGTAAAGTAAGCAGATGTTTAACTTCATGAGGAAGTGCTGAATGTTTTGCAGAGTAACAACAATTAATTTCTTTCTACCATTCAGTGAAGATTTACCAGGCGGTCAGGAGATGTACTGAACAGAGTCGATCAGTTGTGATAGACACTGTATGGCCCCAAATCTTAGATACTTGCTATCTGGATTTTTACAGAAAAGGTTTATTGCCTCTTATTGTAAGAGTTGGCCCATAGCAGTTTATGGTCTGACTATACTAATTTTATAATAAATTTCATGGAGTTCTTTTCTGAGGGCAATAATCAATAGCCCAATTATTTTATACAATTATTAAGTTAGGAAGTATAATAAAAATGTCATCTTAAAACAGTTAAAGAAAGGTGTTATTAAGTCACTGGGAATATTTATTGAATGCTACATACAAAATATCCAAGTTTCATTTACCCGTAGCCATCAATTATTGAGCTTGATATTTAAAAGGGTATGTTCCTTAAATGATTGTATTTTCACACACTGCTGCATAGGTCACAGTTTGTCTTAACAAGCACAACGAACACTCGCTGGCATTTTAGGTAGGCCGGGACCTTATGGCTCGCACTCCTACGCGCATGCGTAAAGCTGGCCAAAAGCTCGCTGGTGTCCAGAGTGCGCAGGCGCAAGGGTCCGCGCCAGTCTTCTCGGAGGGGCGGGACTTGCGTCGGCGTCTCTTCTAACTGCAGCTTGTCGCAGCGCCATCTTGGATGTGCGGCTTCGCGGGCGTGAGTCGGTGGAGGGAGGGCAGCTGGCTCGGCTCTTTCGCCGTCTTTGGACTTTCCTAATTTCATTTCCGCAGATTACATACATATATATATATATATATATACGTACATACATACATATTATATATATATATATATAGAAAGAGGCCCATCTGTACAAAGCCATCTTGTATCCCGCATCCGAGGCGAACTCCGTAAGATGATGTTAAGGGGAAACCTGAAGCAAGTGCGCATTGAGAAAAACCCGGCCCGCCTCCGCGCTCTCGAGTCCGCAGCCGGCGAGAGCGAACCCGCAGCCGCGGCGGCCATGGCGCTCGCGCTGGCCGGGGAGCAGGCGCCCGCCGCCCCCGCGCCCTCGGAGGACCACCCGGACGAAGAGGTGGGCTTCACCATCGACATCAAGAGTTTCCTCAAGCCGGGCGAGAAGACGTACACGCAGCGCTGCCGCCTGTTCGTGGGAAACCTGCCCACTGACATCACCGAGGAGGACTTCAAGAGGCTCTTCGAGCGCTACGGCGAGCCCAGCGAGGTCTTCATCAACCGGGACCGTGGCTTCGGCTTCATCCGCCTGGTGAGTCTCGGGCGGCCGGCGCGAGGGAACAAAAGAGCGGTCGGGGTGGCGGTCTCAGGACGGCGTCGTACTTTGGTTTCGAAGTCGTGGGCCGCGGGGTGCCTGGCGTGCCCGGTGCTGACAGCCGGTGCGGCTCCGCTGTGGCCGCCCGCCCGCTTCCGCTCGCTGCGTCGGACCCTGAGAGCCCGGAGCAGAAGATTCGAGCTACCGGGTCTCTCCTTGGCCTGGTAAACTGAAAGTCCGGGGGCCGGGAGAAGGGCGACGCTTTGGGGTGACGATTTTTCGAGGCAAAAAATGGTGGTGTACATGACATGAATTGGGTATGAATGAATCCAGAGCGAAGGCTTTGGTCTGACCTGAAATTTAACGTGCGTGAAGGACCCTTAGCAGACATGCTGCTAAAAGAAGTATGGGAATCGTCGTCTTGGTTTCAGCCAAACCTGCATGTATTTAACAGTAAACCACGTTACCTCGCTCCTCAGCGCTGCCAGCTCTTGACCTTAAACTCCCTAGGTGCCCAAACTCTACTCGAGCAACACTGTTCAGTCCGCAATAATGGGATGGTGGTGTCCTCTGGTATAATTATTTCCACCCCACATTCTGGATGTTTCTACATTTCTTGGGGGGAATGGATAACACTCTCGAACATTTTATGATATAGTTTATCTATTTACACCCTTTAAGCCAGTATTTTTTAAAGTTCTCACATGCAAAAATTATGTTTCCTTTATGCATATTTTTTAAAAATTTGAACAGTGACAATTTACAAGACAAAGTATCTGCATATATGAGTTTTCTTGGGTGTTTTCTGGTGAATTCATCAGTGTCAGTTACACAGCATTGTGTTCATATTTAGATGCTGGATTTTTTTCAAGCAAAATAGCTTTTTAAAAGAATTGTTTTATTTAACTATTTATTTACTTATTTATTTTAATTTGACTGGAAAAGGACAGAGGTGGGGGGTGAGAAAGCAAGCTGCCAGGTCTGGGACGCATAACTGCAGTGGGCCACGTGGGAGTCCAGCACCCTTAACCACCAGGCCACCTGCTGGCGCAAAATATCTTTTTTAGTTAGGGACATTTTTATACAAATAAGTGACTTCACTTGTCTTTGTTAGACCCTCCAATCTGATACTCATTACACTTTGCAAAAGCTTTTTGTCTTTCTTTCCTGTCTTTTCTTTCTGCAGGGTCTCCTGTCACATCTTTCTGCCTCAGCCTCTGGAGTAGTTAGGATCACTATGGAAGCTTTCTAATTGGAACTCTTGACTTTTAAAATAGGGTTCTCTCCTTGTGTGGACAATGTATAATCTTAATATGTAGAGAAGATTGTAATTAAATGATACTGTATTTTATAGGGAGAATATTTGGAATTTTAAGTGGCTTCTAAAAGAAAGGTAATTATATTTAGAAGATATTACTAATGAGATATGGAAATTTCCTGAAAATTCAATCAGTGCATTTATTTTAAAATTTTGCTGAATGAAAAAAAAAAAAAGGGACCAGCAGTTAGCATAATGGCTATGTCGCTGGACTCCCACCTAGTCAGTCGCTGTTCGAGTCCCGGACCCGGTGGCTTAAACTCACGCTGGGCGCGTGTGCGTCCATGGCCAGGACCCCGGGAGGAGGGAGGAGAAGGGATTGCGGCGTGGCCATCCCCCCGGGGTGTGTGTGTGTGTGTGATTTCTGGCTTTCTATCTCTGTCTCACTCTGTCTGGTGAGTGCACGCGCCCTATAGCAAAAACTTCTCAAAAAAAAAATTTTGCTGTATGTTGCATGCACTTGTCAAGGACAGATGAGACAGAGAGGGCAAGTGCAAAAGCATGCGCCCCCATTCCTATGGCCACAATACATTCCTTCTCCTCTATCCTCCTCTTATGGTTTTACTCTAATGCACACTTGTCCAGTGTGATTTTCTGGCCAGTCCTTGTGTGATCCAGTTGCCTTAACCTCCATACTATCTGTTGGTCCAATAAACTGTGTGTAAAAAGAAAATAAACTTTTTTTTAATATTGGATCATTGGAAAAGTCATCATATATTTTTCTTTTTTAAAAATAATTATTTATTTTTTATATTTATTCATTTATTTTAGTTTGACTGGCAAGAGACACAAGGGGAGAGAGAGAGAGAGAGAAAGTGAGAAAGCAAGCTGCCAGGTCCAGAACTTGAACTGTGGTCGGCCCTGTGGGAGAGCCCAGTGCCCTAACTACCACTCCACCTGCTGGTCCTGTCATATATTTTTGCATAGAAAAACAAATGTCATGACTTTTCTGGTGTGTGTGTGTGTGTGTGTGTGTGTGTATATATATATATATATATATGTATACATGTATATATACACACATACACATTTCCTTCTTTAAAAAAAATTTTGCTATAGGGTACTGTGCTTACTAGAGAGAGAGAGAGGGAAAGCAAGAAATCACTCCCCCCAAGGGGATGGCCATGCTGCAGTCGCTTCTCCACCTGGGATTTTGGGCGCACGTGCACGCATGCGTGCACCTGGTGTGATTTTTAAGCTATATGTTCTGGGATTTGAACTGAGGTCCGCGATGTGGGAGTCCAGCGGCATAACTACTATGCCATCTGCTGGTTCCTAAACTGTAATTTTTATATGGTTAATTTATTAAAGTATGTTCCCTGTTCAACAACTTCTGATCTCCTAGTCTAAACAGCAGGTCTCTTGATTTTTTTTTTTTTTTTGAGAGTTTTTTTTCCGCTCTTGGGCGCGTTTGCTCGCCAGATAGACAGAGAGAGACATAGAGACAGAAAGCGAGAAATCACCCCCCCCGGAAGGTGGCCACACCGCAATCCCTTCTCCTCCGTTCTCCTCTCGGGATCCTGGGCACGCACGCATACGTGCCCGGCGTGAGTTTTTTTTTTTTTTTTTTTTTTTTGAGAGGTTTTTCCGCTATAGGGCGCGTGCGCTCGCCAGACAGACAGAGAGAGACAGAGACAGAAAGCCAGAAATCCCCCCCAGGGTGGATGGTCACGCTGCAATCCCTTCTCCATTCTCCTCTCGGGATCTTGGGCACGCACGCACACGCATCTGGCGTGAGTTTTAAGCCACCGGGTCCGGGACGCGAACCGCGGTTGACTACATGGGAGTCCAGTGACATAGCCATTACGCTAACTGCTGGTTCCAACAGAAGGTCTCTTAAATATTAATAGTTTTTGTATCATGTATGCTGGCAGTCTTGACCTTATACCATCTCAAGAATTTTCTCACGTAGTCAATTAACTGGGAATTGTTAGAAATGTCTATTATGGGACCCTTACTCCATGTCTACTGAATCAGAAGATTCTGGGGCTGGGTTCTAGAAGTCTTGGGTTTTAAGCAGCCCTTTCTGTCACACTTTTCTCTGCCAGAGGACTCTAGTGTTCTCAGGAGAGAGATGGGGAATGGGGGGGAATGAAAAGTACTACTCTGTGGATCATGGCCATACCTCAGTTCCCTCTCCTCCATTTCTCCTTTTGGGATTTTGGACACATATGCCCTGTATGTTTCTTAAGCTGCTAGGTCTGGGACGTGAACCTTGGAGTTAGCCTTGTGAGAACTAGCTGCCTTAACTGCCATGTCCCAGGCATTTTTAAAATTCTCTCTTTGAAAACAGGGACCAGCAGTTAGTATAATGGCGATGTCTCTGGACTCCCATGTGGTTGACCGTGGTTTGTGTTCTGGACCCAGTGGTTTAAAACTCACGCCGGGTGCATGTGTGGGAGGGCCCAAGATCCTGAGAGCAGTATGGAGCAGAAGGGATTTCAGTGTGGTCAGCTCCCCAGGGGAGTGCTTTTTTTGTTTGGAGAGGTTTTTTGCTATAGGACGTGTGCACTCGCCAGACAGACAGAGACAGAGACACAGAAAGCAAGAAATCACCACTCAGGGAGGATGGCCACGCCACAATCCCTTCTCCTCCATTCTCCTCTTGGGATCTTGGGCACGCATGCACATGTGCCCAGCGTGAGTTTAAGCCACTGGGTCTGGAACTCAAACCGCGGTCCGAGTTGAACGGCGGTCGACGAGGGGGGAGTCCAGTGACATAGCCATTACGCTAACTGCTGGTTCCCCCATTTTTCTTTTTTTTAATGAAAGGTTTTTGCCACAGAGTGTGTGTATTCCCCAGAGAGAAACAGAGAGGAAAAGTGAGAAATCACCCCCCAGGGGGATGGCCATGTCACAGTCTGTTCTCCTCCATCTCCTCTTGGGAGTTTTGGGCATATGCACATGTGCCCAATGTGGTTTTCAAGCTTCCAGGTTGGTCAGCCACATGGGAATCCAGTACCTTTGCCACCATGCCACCTGCTGGACCCTGAACTTAGTCATTGGGAACTACTCCTCTCCTTTTCAACCCCGTGTTTTTTTTGTTGTTGTTGTTGGTTTTTTTTTTTTTTTCTTTTTTTTTTCTTTTTATTTTTTAGAGGTTTTCGCTATAGGGCACGTGCCTCGCCAGACAGACAGAGAGCGACAGAGACCGAAAAGGA